CTCGTGGAGCACAGATGAGGTGGCAGGAGTCGAGTGAAATATGTGAACCGGGAATATAGCAGACGGATCCTACGGGGCAAGAGAGAGACTGTGATAAGAACTATGAAAAGAGGACTACTTAACAATATGACAGACTCTGATCAACATTCCCAGGCCAAGGAGGAAGGAGGGTGAGAAGGCCAGTATGGAGTACGGAGGATTTTCATGAAAGCCGCTGAAAAAGGGCACACCGTACCACATTTAATTAAGCAAGTAAAAAATGGTGACGTTGAATGCGTGATAGAAGGATATAGGAAATGTGAATATCCCAGGGAAGAAGGGGAGATACCACAACTGTTTAGCACACGTTTGGTCAAAGGATAGGTTTATTTGTCTCTTTGACGAGTTGTTGTATGGTGCTAAGAATGGCGAGACTCACTGATCATGTCGGCGAAACGTTTGGGAATGTACCACGTCCAGGGTCCAACTTTGGAAAGTATTATGCATAAAATGTACTCCGGACTAGATGCGTTCCTCTAAGTCTTCCTGCCAATATGACCAAGTTGCGAAAACAAGGTCATACAACTTGTATTGTCTACTTTTAGTTTATAAGTAGGTCTACGTAACAACCGAAAGGTCTGATATAAGAGCTGAATTCATCCAATTTCGTAAAGTCGATAATGGAGTGGTAGGCGAACTTTGTCACAAACCTATGAAACCCTAACAATCTCATTTCTATCTCTCTCTCTCTCTCTCTCTTTCTTCAGACCAGGTTATTACAAGATTTTGTGTAAACGCGTCCATTCCGGCACGACTGGCCGTTGGCATCGGCGTTGTTATTTTCAAAACGGACTGTGCACGAAAATCACAGTCCGCCGGACTCGGGCGCCATCTTGTTTTGTGGTGCTGGAAGAAGAACGCCTGTACTCCTTTCTCAAGCGGCCCCTTTTGATCCTTCCGGTCGGAGTGGACAAGATGTTCAGGCCATCGAGTGCGGACGCGAGTGTGGAAGTGACTCTTTTTTGAGGCACGACATAACTCGTCAGTTTGCGATGGTTGTCTGCCCGACTAAAATGGACTACTTTTCGTTCATAAAGTAGGGTCTCGAGACTACCAGTAAATCAATTATATGAGATGTATTCACCTTATTTCGTTTAAGATGATGCAAAAATGGTAGTTGAATTTTCCCACAATCATATAAGTCGAGCTGGCGTTCCCATTGAATTTCACGGAGCCTTGTTTTCCCAAAAGGTCTTCTCATCCCGAAGGTCTTCTCACCCCAAGAGGGAGTCGAACCACGACAGCGCAGCATGTAAGCTCGACACGTCAACCGCTCATTGCCACAAGTGACCTTGGGTCAGGGAGCAGATGTGAATTTCAAGGAATGCCAGGCATTTTTCATATCACATTTTTTGTTGGGGTTGCCGACGAAGTAAACCTGAATTGCTGTAGCAATCGACGACATTACTTTTTTGTTGTTGAGTAGGTAACGTCAGCTCTACTCATCTGAGTGTTGTAAAATTCAACTACAAGTTCTTCATCTTAAACGAAATAGGGTAAATATATCTCATATAAAATGGACCATGTCGTGGAGACTTTCAATTCTCACCAAAGTGTGTATAATGAAGAGATTCGCAGCTCAATCCCACCACAAGACGACGGCCGATTCCACCGGACAGCCTCCTTCGTTCCCCATCAAGAGGGGCTGAGCTTTCTTCCGTCATGCCACACAACACACAGCATCAGAGCTGGAAGTGATTGAGGCAGAAGCTTCTAACTAACACCAAGTCAAGAGGACTTGTCGCCTGATTGACGATTCCAATTAAATCCACACTTGCCGTCGTCTTCTGGTGACATCGACCTACGAATCTCTTCACAATGCACCTTCCCACGAAATGAAAATTTCGCAAAAACAACGCTGTCTCAGAAGACTCATGGAAATCCACTTTTGTTTGGGGTATCTAAGATGGACTATCGACAAAACTGGCGTGGCCGGACCCGTCTAGCCCCAACAAGCTGACGTTGATGAGGTGGCGACCGACTCGAACCTTCAAGAACGAGACGAGACAGTCCTGTCCACACTTCGCTCTGCACCGCTCTGCAGGCGTCTGGGCGAGGAATTGAGGAGAACCCTCAGCATATCTCCCGGCCAATCGCAATTTCGATAGTCATAACCACCGGCAGCCTGCGCCTAAGGGTCGGGCGGGCTCGGAAAATCAGCAGCCCCAAAACAGCATTGACTCGCACAAAACGGGGTTAGATAGAATGTCGAAAAAGCCTAGGGACCACGTGAAATAGGCTGCAAGCCCAGAAAATCAACCGGCAGATAAGGCTCAAAAT